ACCACCACCACCACTACAACAGCAACACCACCACCACCACTACAACAGCAACACCACCACCACCACTACAACAGCAACACCACCACCACCACTACAACAACAACAACAACACCACAACTACAACAACAACAACACCACCACCACCACTACAACAGCAACACCACCACCACTACAACAACAACACCACCACCACAACTACAACAACAACACCACAACTACAACAACCGACCAAGCGATGAGGAAAACATACGCACCACCAACACTGCCACTACAACAACTACAACAACAGCAACAACAACAACGCTCTTCTGGGCTCCAAACATCTCGAACAGATAGGCTACCACCACACACACAACAACAATACACACAAACACACACACAACAACAACAACAAAGTCTTATATTTTTAGTCTAGCATGCGGAAAGCAAAATGGGCGGAATGCGGAAATAGTTTCGCAATGTACGAATTTTGCTACAATAATATACAATATGTTTTAAAAACCAAAAAATGCAGGTATAAGAAAGGAAATTGGGATTTGAAAATCTGTCAGCTAGCTCTATATATATGTGTATGTGTGTGTTAGTTATAATTACGTACTGGCTATGTACGTGCCAGACTGTATCATGGAATGTATTTTATAATTATGTTCTTGATCCAGCGCTAGATCTAGCACTCAGTGTGATGGTGAATAAACAGGAGACAGAAGACCTCAGCTGTGTGGATCTCAGTGTGTCATCTCATTCCCTGTGTGTGTTTGTGGATGTGTCAGTGTGTCATCTCCTTATCTGGGTGTTTCTTTGTGTCACGTCGCTGTCTGTAGATCTATGTGTTTGTGGGTGTGAGTTGGGAACAAATCCATGTTTTGGAAAGTGCATCCTTTTCTCCCTATGTTATTTCTGACTTCTTTTGTTTTTTTTCCTAATAAAAGTTGGTACATGGAAATATCAGCCGATGACCAGTGCATCTGCGAAAGAAAATATTTCAGTAAAAAATAGAAAATTTAAAATGCTTTGTGGTTTCTGCTGTGGCTAATGAGACCAATTCTGACAGAGAAATGTTTGCCACATTTTGAGCATTTAAAAATTTGCATTTCCTTTCATGGATGTGTGCAGCTTGTGGACTTCTGTCTTGGCTTCAAGATTTTGAATTCAATTTTCCAACGTCTAAGGAAAAAAGGAGAAAATCCATGGACGCCTCAAATTATTATGACATCAAGTGAGAGAGCATGGGATAGGTTTACAGTTTAGTTTTATTTACACCCTTTTCAACAACATGTAGGTCTAGGTTTATTCGAAATCACAGTAGCCTGCTGTACAGTGTTTCATTCTCTCAACACTACTACATGACCGGAACAGTGTACTAAATAAATCATACAGGTATATATATATGTATATATAAATTCATATATATATATATTTTATTTTTTTTTATTT